GGTTTCAAATTATACTTAGTAGAAGAAATAAGGAAAACTACATTACTCGATCTTCTCGGAAGTCTCTGTTGCACTTTTTTGTTTGTTTTTTGGAGCATAAAGTGCTTTGCACACATCCTTTAGTTTTTCCTAATGCTCCCCCACCGCCTTTCCTGTGGAGCGCCTCTTTCTGGGAGCTCCCCCTCCCAGAGTAAGCTGCTGTCTTTGCTTTTTGGGCACTGCACCATGTCCCTTCGTACTTGCCTTCACCTCTTTTTTCTGTGATCTTCCCCGCAGTCAGTCAGTAGTGTCCATATTGCCTAAAGGAAAATTAGGATGGCAGAGGGAGAGGCAGAGCAGACTCTGCAGAGACCACACGCCTGCTTAGCTCTTTCCCCAGCCATGTCCGGCTTCCCTCTCTCCTTTTCTTCCAGAGGCACTTTCGGGTGCACCGAAATACCCATTTCAGGCTCTGCGTCCTGGATGCATAATGGACTTACAGTAAGTGCTGAATAAATTGTGGATCTAATGGCAACGTAGCCCCATCATACTGCGCTGTGCTGAGGAAAGAGGAGACCTTGCTGGAGCTCTTTCTCCTGCTCTGGCAGCTCCTTCTCCATACCCACCCCCTCCATGGGCACACACGCCTCCCCGCACCCCTGCTGCCCCAACACCTTCTGCTGCCTGCCGAGCTACTTCCCAGAGGAAGTGAGTCTGGAGCAATTCTGTCAACCTTTCGACTCAGTGACAGGCTTTTTGGTTTTCAGGTAAGACCAAAAGAGGGATGTCCCTGCCTCACTCAACAAGGAGGGAGAGAGATCCTTGGTAGTTTCCTGGTACCTGCTCCTGGCCTGGCCTGGCCTGGCCTGACTCTGGGGACGCTGTAGGGCTCGGTGCTGTGGAACCGGCAGGGGCGCCATTGACAGGCCTGCCAGGTTTGGGCCTGTCCAGCGGTGCCCCCACCACATTCCACCGGCAGCCACAGTGTGTCTTGGCGAGGTGAAGCTCTAGGCCACGCTCCAGGAAGAGCCTGGGAGCGGCCCAGACAAACCAGCTTTCGCCACAGAAGCCAAAGCTGGCTGGACTTGAGCCCGTGCCGGCCTGAAAGTGGCCGGATCCTCCCCCACCCACGGAAAGGTGAACTCAGTTCTGGGTGAGTGGGTGGGGTGTGGAGGCGGCAGGCTCCCAGGTGGGGGGAACCCGAAGAGAAGAGAGGCGGTGGGGCAGGGTGCCAGGCAGAGGGCTTTTCTACCTTACCCTGAGCCCGAGGCAGGCCTGCAGGAGCCGGACTCACGGGAGGGCTGCCCAGAGCCCTGGCAGTCTGGCCCGAGCCTCCTCCCGCCACTCGCCAGCCAAGGTGCATCGAGGACAGCTCTCGCTCCCAGGCCAGCAGGGGAGGGGCCGGGAAAGGCTCCGGAGAACCAAGCTGCTAGGAGGAACAATAAACCTGCTACTTGACAGCGTTTTTCCTTCCCCTTTTAAACACTTGGCTCCTTCTCTCTCAAGGAATAAAATAGTCAAAAAAGAATGTGCAAAAATGGTCTTGTTTCTGTTACTGAGCTGGGGAAGCCTCTTCTGTGTCTTTAGAGCCTTGCAGCCTCTTCCATTCTGTCTCGGGGGGGCCTAGACACCCAGAACCCTCCTGCCCACTCCCCTTGGCAGTCTCTGCAGCTTCAAACCCAGAATTCCCTGCTCCCTGCCAAGGCTGAGGCAAGGAGAGGGAGCTTTGGGCACCTTCACCCTTGGGAAGTGGGTGGAGGCAGGGGCTCCTAGGCAGATGACCAGGATCTCTGCTGGATCTCCGGCAGGAGGGACCCAGAGCTAGAGTCAGCTGGGTTAGAGTCAGGATGGTTAGAGCAGAGTGATAAAAGGTGGTTTAGAATGAAGGTAGAATGACTTAGTGAGAGATTAATTTGTGTTTGTTCTTATTGTGTTTTCCCCTCGCCTGCTCCCAGAAGGTAGCAGAAGCTAGCATGGTAAAGCACTGAGGTGCTCTGTAGACCTTTTTGTTTCCAGGAAGCCTAGCTTCTCAAGAAGTAGGGAAGGGTGAGGGCCAGTGGGTGCCTTCCTGCGAACAAAGAGGAGAGAAAGAGAGAGAGAGAGGGAGAGAGAGACAGAGAGACAGAGAGACAGAGAGAGAGAGAATGGGGCTATGTGTAACAACTGGTATACCTGGGTAAAGGATATATGGCAGTTTACCATTAAACATGTATTTAGACAGTCAATGCAATGGTTTAAAATTAGACATATAAGTAATGTAATTCAGCACATTAACAAAATGACGGAGAAAGTAATTTGATTATCTTAATGTATTCAGGAAAACATTTCATGAAATTTGGCATCTATTTGTAATTTTTAAAAATTTTTAGAAAGTTAGGAATAGGGCTGGGCACGGTGGCTCACGCCTGTAATCCTAACACTCTGGGAGGCTGAGGCGGGAGGTTTGCTTCAGCTCAGGAGTTTGAGACCAGCCTGAGCAAGAGTGAAACCCCATCTCTACTAAAAATAGAAAAAAATTAGCCAGGCTTGGTGGCACATGCCTGTAGTCCCAGCTACTCAGGAGGCTGAGGCAGGAGGATCGCTTGAGTCCAGGAGTTTGAGGCTGTGGTGAGCTATGATGAGGCCACTGCACTCTATCCAGGGTGATGGAGGGAAGTCCAGGGAAGGGTTCTATCTGTGAGGTCCAGAAAATGCCCCAGTTGTTTTATTGGAGGTGCTACAGCCCCAGACACAGGCCCAGGTTCTCTGGCAGGCTGGTCTTGTACTGACCCGTGACTCATGGTCCAGTTTGACTCACTCCTCTCTGATTTATTGGCTACAGAAAGGCCTGGGGTGAAATTTACCAGACTTGGCTAATAGTTTTCATCTCAAGTGACAACTCTGATCAGTGCCTGTGTTGACAATAATTCTGCAATCCTGGTGGTTCTGTAGCATAACAGAAGCTGTTGGTGCCCTGTTCATATTATACCTCCGATTTAACATTCCACTATTTGCTTGCAACATTCTACTACAAAAGCCTAACCAGTGGCTTTTTTGTCTCTATGCAGGTGGGAGGGGCAGGCCAGATTCTAGTGTTGGGGTGTTACTCTCTTGTGAGCAGCACTCAGCCAGTGACAGATGAAGGCTGGAGGATCGATATCCCACATCCTCTGCCCCTTGGGTGGGAAAACTTTGAGGTGTGTTCTGCACTGTCTCTTGGAGTTCTCCAGCAGGGAACTTGTCTCAACTTCTGCTTCTGGGGGAATCAAAACTAAGACATGTGGAAAAGAATATTGTATTAGTCAGCTTGGGCTACCGCAACAAAATACCACAGACTAGGTAGCTTAAATCACAGAAATTTATTTTTTCACAGTCCTGGAGGCTAGAAGCCCCAGCTCAAGGTGCCAGTTGATTTGGTGCCTGGGGAGGCCTCTCTTCCTGGCTTGTAGGCAACTGCCTTCTTGCTGAGTCCTTACACAGTGAGGAGAGAGCCCTCGCGTCTCTTACTCTTCTTTTTAAAATTTTTATCCGTCTATCTATCTATCTATCTATTTATTTATTTATTTTTAGAGATAGAGTCTTGCTATGTTGCCCAGGCTGGTCTCAAACTCCTGGGCTCAAGTGATCCTCCTGCCTTGGCCTCCCAAGTAGCTGGGACTCCAGGTGTGCACCACCACGCCTGGCTCTTACTCTTGCTATAAGGGCACCAGGTCTGTTGGATCAGCACTTCGCCCTGGTGACCTCATTCAACCTTAATCACCTCTTTAAAGGCCCTGTCTCCAATACAGTCACCTGGGAGGTTAGCGGAGACACAATTCAGGCCACAGCAAACATGATGATTGATTGGCTATGTCTGCTGTAGAGGAGGGAGAGGGCGGTGTTGACTCAAATGGTGGCTTGAGCAGTGTTGTGGGATAGTTGGGGACAGATACCATGTCTCCTTTATATTGACCATGGAACCTGACCCATCCTGGGAACCAGAGTGTGACCGTTGTCCAGTGGCTGCCCATGTCCAGTGCAGATTAGAGCTCTGCAGGGGGTTGGCCTGGGCAGTGCGGCTGCTCAGAGCCAAGCGGAGAAGGGTGCGGGCTGGCAGGCGTTGGTGCTTTGTGACACAGGCTGCAACAGGAACCGTTGGCGGGGGAGGCAGACCCTGAGAGTAGGGCAGGATGACCCCCGCTGTGGGTCCCAGGGGACGTGAATCCCAGTAATTGGCCAAGAACACCAGAGAAAGAGGTGAAGGCCCCTGAAAGACAGCACCTTGGCAAGTGTGCTTGTCCAGAAGGCTGCAGGGCCTGGTGCGTGGTTGGGAGGCACAGGATGTCCAGAGGCCGGAGCCAAGGAGCACTGCTGGGGGACAGAAAGGACAGCCTGAGGCCTGGAGCTGGACACTGGGCTCACTGGATAAGGGGTCCAAAAGGTGGCTTTCAGGGTCAGACAGCCAGTCCTTCGTCCACGGGACATGTCTCAGGGGGACAATGGGATTCATCCTAGAGAGGAGGGTAGATGAGTGAGGGGGCCCAGGGATCTTGTCTCTTTACGATCCCTCCTCTCAGTCTCTCAGGCAGGCAGGCTGGAAGCAGCCTGGGATCTGTGGGGGATGGGTGAGGTTGGCATGAGGCTCAGATAGGCAGCCCCGGGAGCCACAAGCCACTCCACCCAGCAGCCTGTTTTGGACTGGATCTCACTTTGAGCCTCTGCACATCTGGTGGCATTTGGTTCACTCGGTCCTGGCTTCCAGCAACGTCCTGACAATCCTCACTCTGGCCCTGAGCAGACAGCTGGGGGCCTGAGTCCTCTGTGGCCCGACTGTGCTCCCAGCCAGAGCTCTTGGGGCCTGAGCCCATCTCCTGGGTCCTGGGGCCTTCTCGCCTGCTCCCCTCCCCACAGCACCCAGGAGTGGATGGTGGGTGGGGGGCAGGGAACACTTGCTTAGTTGAACCCTGGGGCTGTTTAAAAAGCCCAAGGTGCAAGAAGGCTGCCCAGGGGCACGGTTTCCAGGGGCCCCAGGAGAGCCGCTGACCTGCTGAGAAAAGCAAATCCACACCAAGGAAGCAGGCGAGAGAGCCCAGGCGGCCACTGCATCTGGTTTATTGTTCTCTCCAAACTTAGCAGAGCAGAATATGAGGCCACCTGGGGGGCAGTTGGGCCCGTTCCATGGGGCCAGCCAGAGTTAGTGTGTGTGAGGGGGCCAGAGTCCATGAGACATCCATTGGGGAAAGACCCCAAATTCAGGCGGCCTGGCACCCCCCTTCTGCCTCCTCCATGCCCGAAGCCCCCACAGGGAGGCATGATGCGGCAAGCATGAGTGCTCAGGTCTCGAAGGACGTGGGGGCAGCGCAGGGCAGAGCGGCTATGGAGGCTCCATGGGAGCCTGGGCAGGCCTCCCGCGACCGCCGGGCACTGCCCTTTGCCCTGGAGAGGAGTTGGGATGCTGGGCCAGCTGAGATGGGTCAGATGCACACAGGACCTTTCCAGGTCACTTCTCCCTGAGCTGTCCTCTTTCCCACAGTCCCCATCCCATGCTCTCCTCACTCGACATCCCTGGTCTGCACAAGATCCATCTCTTTCAGAGGAACCAAGCCCCAGCCAGTGAGGCCGGGCAGCCCAGCACCTCCCTGGGACGTTCCCCCGCCACGAGCATCTATCTGCACAGTGCTGGGGCCTCCGAGCGCCCCAAGAAAGGGAGGCGAGAGGATCCTGTGGGGGTGGTGGGGGAGGCTTGAGCGCAAGGACGAAGGCCTCTCCCCGTTCAGCCCGTGGGTTGACGTGTGCCCGCAGCCCTGGCCCTGCATCTGTCTGTGCCGCCGTCCAGGGTGTGGATGTGAATCCCGAGGGACCGCCAGTCCGGGCTCTGTGTGGGCAACACCTACAGACCTGGTGGGGAGAGTCAGGGAGAGAAGGTCCTGGAGGAAGGCTGGCTGCGAGGGGACAGGAAGCCACTTTTCTCCCCCTGGTCAGCTTGGGCCACTGGGGTGGGCATGTGCTTCTGACAGCTGTCAGGCCCTGGACAGGGAGACCTGGGCCCCAGTTCCCCATCCCTGCTAAGGCCTTTTGGAGAGAGAGAGCCCATCTCAGGGCCAGGGGAGGAGGCAAGACTCAGCCAGAGACCTACCGTCATTAGGAGTACGCCAGGCCCTGAAGCCCCCGGGCTGGAGAGTGGAACTTGTCAGAGTCCTCGAAAGGCTGGTCTGCGGTGGTCGAGGAGAAGGGAGCCATAAGCCATGTACTGCCTGGGGACCTCACCTGCCTGTCCCTCTCCGGGCTGGGGACAGCAGGCAGGACATATAGCACTTTCTGAAGGCAGACAGCCAGGTCTCGCCCTGGCCTGCGGGCAGCACTGCAGGTAAGGGGTGAGGGGCAGGTGCAGCCTCAGTCCTTGCTCCCCAGCTTCCTCCAAGGAGAGGTGACTCTGGGCTCCCCTCCCCAGGCCTGCCTGTTTCAGACGGCCCGTCTCAGGGGGAGGAAGCAGATGGCCAAGAACCAGGACAGAGAGGGAAAGAGGCCAGCCTCCAGGGCGCTGATTTACAGCTCAACTGCACCAGCCTGCCTGCCTCCCATGCCTACAAAATTCATCACCTCACCACTCCTGCCCCTGCCTGACCCCCTCCCCCGGCTCCCTTTGCTGGCAGGGAAAACTGGTGGCCTCTGCCTTCCCCATTCCTCACATTCTAAGCTCCAGACACTCTTAAGAAAAGTTATCCAAAACTTGGAAATAAGGCAAAAGATGACTGCAGATCCTTTCAAAGTCACCCTAGAGCACTATCTAATAAGCCCACCTTAGAAGTCATCTTATTCTGGGGCATGCGACTTTTTTTGACTTGTTCTACACTACTGGGTAGGGCCCAGGCTTTGTTAAGTTGGATGTTAACTTGGAGAACATCAGTAAATGACAGACAACTTCTAGTTGGCAAGAAGATAGTCCCCAAGAGAAGGCTGCAGGTTTATTGCTTTACTGGTCTGTAGAAGCAGTTTACATTGAGCAATGTTATTCCAGCCTTCTTTATTTTGCTGGCTTCAGTCTCTCCCATTCTCCTTTAAGCTGCCCTGTCCTCCTGTTAGCTCCCTCATTAACGGGTTAAATACGTCTTTGACACGCACTCTTTGACACGCACTGGTACGAGCTATGCTTTGAACATTCGAATGTGGGCTCCAACATCTCTGCCTTCCCCACCCACGCACCTTCATCCCAAGGCCTCCTCTGTCCAGCGCATTCCTCCCCCACTAGAAAACTCTATTTATTCTTCAAACCCTGCTTGGGCAAGGTCTTCTCTGATGATGGCCCACCCTCTGGATGTTTTGCCCACCAGCCCCCTTGCCCGCCCTCTCTCCTGGCACAAAAGTTTGTTATGACTTGAATCACCAACACGGGGCTGCCGGTGCGGCCCAGAGCAGCAGCTCCTGGTGGGAAGGGGCCCCGTTCTACCCTCCGAGCAGGGAGTAAGCACAGTGCTAAGAAGTCTTTGGACTGTGCTGGAATTGCTCTGTGTAACCCGGGTATGGCCGATTTTCCAGGGCTCCCTGGCTGCTGTGTACACGTGTCACCCTCAGTTGTTCTCCCAGCCCCTGTGCTTCCCCACTCTCCCTCCAGTGTCCGGGGACTCTCCCTGGAGCACAGAGACCCTACAGGGCACCGTCCATGGCCCCCCCCACCGCCTCAGCGTGGAGGCCACCCCACCTGCCCAGCCTTGGATCTGGAGATGACTCCAGGGCCAAGCCACTGGCCTTGCTCTTGTGACAGGCATCCCAGCCTGACCAGCCCCCACAGCAGGCTGAGGACACCATGCAAGTGTCTCTTCCTCCACCTAGAGGGCATTCCCTGGGAACTAATCTCAAGATGCTCTTTGAAAAATACGTTTTGTGCTCAAATAAATTTGCATTTTCTGTTCCCTAGAAGATCCATCATGCACTCTAGCACATTAAAGGCTCTGACAAATTCTTCAAAACACTTACCTAATTTGAACACTGATTCTCTTCCAATGGTCCATTACTGTCCTGGGCAATGCTCTAACCCGGACATGCTCTAACTCGGCCTCTCGGCTGGGTGCCCAGCAAGCCGCACTGCAGCCTTCTGCCATTGGATTTGATGGGTGCCCTTCTGACCCGTTTATTCACATAATAATTCTATTTATTAAGCAGCCACTATGTGCCAGGCACACAGCTAGATACTAAACTCTGTACTGAGTCCCAGGGGATCCCGTGGAGAACCCCTCTAGCCAGGCACAGAAACACCTGTAAGCCTCTTGGGGAAGACACCCTCTTCCAGCCCTGCCCCAACCACCCCTGTCAGCTGGGCCCTGCCCTGCCCACATCCTGTGGTCCCCCCCATCCCCACAGCCAGTGCTCCCTCTGTCTGCTAGTGAGTTTCCAGCGAGCGCTCGGATGCGCAAAGTTCTGCTGGCTGAAAGGTTTTGCTGCATGTGTGTATATGGAGAGAGCAATCATTCAATTAATGGGATGCGGGAGGGGTGACTTGGTCTCGATTCTGAATCTGTAAAACGGGGGCGGGAAGCCGGGCTAAACCTCATCTAAGGTCAGTCGCCTTCCATCCAGCCAGTGACGCAGTCTCTCACAGTGGTGTGTGCTACCCTCTGGTGGACACTGGGAGGCACAGGGCACAGGCATGCAGCCCACTTGGCTTCCTCTAGCTCCGAGGGTTGGGTCTTTGCTCTGGGCTCAACTGGACTGCATTGGGGTGTTGGGCTGGTTTCCAGACCTTTCCCGACTGGGATTTGAGTCCCTTCTTCTTGGCCAAGTGGTCAACTGAGAGTACCCAGAGTGGTGACCATCCCAAGCTGTGAGGCCCAGGGACCTCCCTGGAATCCTGCAGGGCTTCCTGCTCTCCACCCAGGAAGAGCTGAGGTCACTGGTGAGACGTGGAGGGAGTGGGGCCGCTCTAGCCCAGCTGCTCCCGCAGGGCCCTTCCCGGGCCACAGCGAGGCAGGGTGGATCGCTCACCTGGAAGCCCCTCTCCGTGGATTCTGGGGCAGGCCTGGGGTGGGGAGCTGGGTGGGCGCAGCACGGGGGCGAAGGCGCTCCTCTGTTTGACGGCGGAGATCATGTTGACAGGCGAGAAGGAGAACACGCTGGTGGTGGGGGCCGTGGCCGGAAGGGACATGGAGGAGGCAGCCGCCAGCGGGGGGCTAGAGGGCATGACTCCGGGGCGGGGCAGGGAGGGGCAGGGCCAGCAGGGAAGGCAGTGGGAGACACAACAGGGAGACAGCACCAGAGTGAGCAGCTTGGCTGGGGCCCTGGAGTGGGCAGTGGGCCCCACATGGGCTGCTGCCCCAGGCCCCAGGCTCGGACCTCACTGGGAGCTGAGAGTCCTGGGCTTGCTGCCCTGGCTTTCTGGAGGGTTCTGGAGACTCCTTCTTATGGCTGGAGATGACAGCACTACACCAGGTAAAAACACAAGCAAAACCAGAACATCCAACAAAACCAGACAGTGGAAGTGCCCCAAAGATGAGATGAACAAGAGTTGTAACAGGTTAGGATTCCTGCTGAAAACCCCTGGGATTCTGAGATGCTAAGAAGTGTTTAGGGGCCCTGGGGCAAGTAGTCAGGGACGAATTTTGGGGCCACAAACAGGCTCCTGTTACAAGGCCTCTCTGTCCAGGACCATAGCTCATGCAAGCACCCTAACTTCCTCCACAGGTGTGCTCTCCTTAACAATATCCCCAGTGTTCTGTCTGCCCCTTCCTACCCCCCACCTTCACCCCGGGACACTTTGTTTCCTTCCAGCTTAATGCAGGTCCTTGTCATCTCCAGCCTGGGCCCTGGAGGCCTCTTTCAGCTGATCAATTTTAAAGAAACGTACAGGGATCTACACTCTCAAATCTTCCTGTTCTCCAACTCCCCAGCCATCCAGGGCTGTGGCTTGCTTTTCTGGGAATAGCAAGGGAGTCTCCTGCACACAGGCTGTGTCTGCCCCTTCTTCCTGTAGCCTCCTCTCCTGCCCAGGTCAGGAGATCCCACCTTTCCTCATCCTCATCTGAACCCAGTTCTCTGCTTCTCTCTTGTAAAGCCCAGTAGGGCTGTGATGTGAGTGCTGTCCAAACAGCATGCAATGGGGTTAGGCTGGGGCTTCTTGGAAGAAAGTGACAGCTTGAGAAGGCTGCCTTTGCCATATGAGCACCTCCCCTTACTTTGATACAATGATGTCTCCAATAGCTGCCCCTCTTCCAAATGTCCTCAGCCCCATCTCCTTTAAGACAATGCTCACTGCTAGCTGGGGAGCCCCAGGGAGGGCTTAAGATCAATGCCAGAAGACGTACTATATCTCTCAAGGTCCAGGGCTCATAGTCAAATTAGATAGGACTGACCCTTGGGCAAGTCCAGGGTGTCCCCAGCTGATGCTGGAAGCAGGATTTAAGAGGCTCTAGAATTCTCGATCTTCTTGCTGAATAGGGAGACCCCAGTGGGGCTGGCTCCTGCACACTGGGGCAGTGTGTTCCCCCACTGTTGACTACACTGTGTGTGGGGGGAGGGGGACTTGTGTTCCCATTCCCACTAGTGCTGGCCCAGGGGAAAGCTTCACATGCAAGCGGCACCCAGAGAGAGGCTGTGAGGGTGCTGCCTCAGAACTGAAGGGGAGAGGCAGGTGAGAGTGGCCTGAGCAAAGGGCCAGGAGAGACAGAGGTCCCAGAGGGCCACGGCCTATGTGGACTCCAGCTTACGGGGCCTTGGGTCCCAGAAGTCGAGCCCAGGCCAAGAGGAGAGTACTAGGCTCAAGCCTGCAGCCACAAAGAGCAGTGCCCAGGGCACAGGTCCCTGGCAAGGAAAGCTAGGCAGGTGGCCAGCTAGTGTAGTCTTTAGCAATGGCCAACACAGGACAGTGGGGAGGTGCGGGAACTGTACGAAAAGCACGGCCAGCTCCTTTTCGGGCAGCCTTCACCATGTCTCCAGCTCAGCACAGTCTCCCAGGACTGGAGGGACAACCTCTCTTATGACTGATGGGGAGGCTGCTTGCAGGTGAGCACGGGTGGAGTTATCTCCCAAGCCTGGTGCTCTGCACACAGTAGGCGCTTTATGAATGCTGAATAGCTAAGTTAAAAAGAGCTGTAAACATGCTGATCTGGAGCCTGGTGTTGGAAAAGACTTGAGGGCAGTGTAAAGTGGTCAGGCATAAAGCAATTGTGGATGTCACTCACCCATGACACCCAGGCATTGCCCATCCACCCAGCCCTGAGCTGCTCCACTCAAGAAGCCAGACGAAGGGTTTAGAGCCCACAGTCCCGAATGGGACTGCGAAATCATACACTTTTTCCTAATTCTGCGTGGCCCTTTATGCATAGTGGCACGTTCAGATCTAGAACAACCTTAGGCGAGGGGGTGGAATTGACCCTATTTTACTGAGAGGAAACTGAAATTCAAAGTAGTAAATTGCTGAATGCCAGACAGCTCCTGGTTTGCACTCAGACTCTAAATCCAGCTCTGTCTGACCACACGGAATTCACTCGCTGTGCGGGACCACGTCGCAGGGAGCCACGTCCCCTCACCGCCCACCCGGCCTCTCCTCCGCGGGGGGTGGGGCCAGCTGGAAGCCGCTTCTCCGGAGCCCTGAGTTTCCTTAGGCTTCCGGCAGGGGGCGCCAGCTTCCTCCCGAAGTCGCTGCGTACATTGGCAAGGTGGCGGTCCACCAGGTTTCCGCCGGACGTCCCCCCAGCCCGCCCCATTAAAGCCAACTTCAGGAGGACTGCACAGCGAGAAGCAATGTGAGCAATTGGGGTCAGCAAGGAGAGCTAAAAGAGCAAGAAGTACTCCGGCCGCAGGACCCCGGGACGTGCGGCCAAGGTCCAAGGCCAGGAAAAGGTCACACGCGGGGAGGGCTGGGCTTGCTCCCGAGGGTAAGCCACTGTCGACCCTCTTGGGGGGGCGCCCCGCCCCCCGGGATGGGCTAGCTGGGCAGGGCCCCAGCCCCTCTCCTCGCGGGCGGGGGACACTCACTGGCGAAGGGCGAGGTGGCCGTGGAGCCATTGAGGAAGCTGGGGGACCCGGGCACACCAAGGCCGGCCACTCCTGGCGCTCCGTAGCCGCCGAGGCCCGCTCCGAGGCCACTGCCGTAGCTGCTCTGCTGCGAACCCGGGCTGGGCGCGAACCCGCGGGGGGACGCGCTGCTGCAGCTGCGCGCGTAGCCTGCGGGAGAGCGGCGGTCAGGCGAGCAGCGCAGGCAGGGAAGGAGCCGTCGGGGCGCCCCGGGGCTGCAGCGAGGCGCGGCGGACGCACCCGGCTCGGGTCCCGGCGTGGCGTCCCCGACGGCGATGGCCAGCGGGCTGCTGAAGGCGTTGATGCCCACGACGGCGGGGTGCGGGTGGCTCGGGGCCAGGGGTCCGAGAGGCGCGGGCGCCCGGGGGGCGCTGTACAGAGCCTCGGCCACGTCCGCCGCGCGCTTCAGGAGGAGCTCCTGCGAAGACAAGAGCGGGGCACGGCCGGGGCAGCCGCAGGCGCCGGGTGGGGGAGAGCCGCGGGCCCGGCGGCCCCAGGAGGCGGGCGGAGGCGCCATACCTGGTTACTGCTGGGCACTCCGTACAGCGCCTCCGCCAAGTCGGCCGCCCGCTTCAGCAGCACTTCCTGCGGGCAGGGGAGGAGACAGCGGGACGGAGGGGCAGCCCCTGGGGGCGGCGGAGGGGCCCTCGGACTGCCCTTCGCCCACTGGACACCTTCGTCCCCGCCACACCCCTCTGAGTACCTTGGGCAGCCTCTCGGGGTCTCCGGGGTGTCTGGGAATGACTTTCTGTAGCCTCTGGAATCCGTAGTCAATGGTCGGCTCGTTCAGGGCTGGGGAGAGGGGCAGCGTTTGGAGGACGTCCCCTCCCAGAGAGGGACACAGGGCGCAAAAAGCAGGCAAGCGACAAGTCCAGGAGTCTCGCTGCAGACCCTCTCCACCAAGTCCAGCCCCAGTTCCCCGGAAAACTCCCGGCACACCGGTCAGCGAGGTTCAGGGAAGTTTCCTGTTTGTTCATTCATTCAACAAACACTGAGCCAGGCTCTGTGCCAGGCGCTTGGCATTAACACACATGCTCTGTACGATCTCATTTGTGATTAGAAAAAAGGGAAATACTACACACACTAGCTTCTATACTCCTAGGGACCAAAGCAAGGGAGAGGCTTTTTGTTTTGTTTTGTTTTTTTGAGACAGAGTCTCACTCTGTTGAGCTGGCTAGCATCAGCCTAGCTCACTGCAACCTCCAACTCCTGGGCTCAAACGATCCTCCTGCCTCAGCCTCTCAAGTAGCTGGGACTACAGGCAGGTGTCACCACGCCTGGCTAATTTTTTCTATTTCTTTTTTTTTCAGTAGAGACTGGGTCTCGCTTTTATTCGGGCTGTCCTCGAACTCCTGAGCTCAAGTGATTGTCCCACTTCCGCCTATCTAGAGTGCTAGGATCACAGGCGTGAGCCACCGGCCCGGACAGGTTTTCTGTTTGCATTTGGTCATATCAGGTGCTTATTTATTACAAAGAAGAAAAAAACCCAGCGATCTCCATTTATCACAGCCCAGGTGGACTCAGAAGCATCGGAGGGTGAAAGGTTTGCATGCTCTGCAGGGAAGGGACTGGCCTATGCCCAGGGCTCTCCAGAGGGCGCAGGAGTCTTGCCACCCAGCTCCCCATGCCCTCCCCTCCTCTCCCAACCACCCGCCTCCTCCTCCTTCCCCTCTTCCTGCCCCCTTCCTCTTTGGGTAGCCTGGCCGTGACCTGAGCCACCAGCCTCAAAGTCCTACCTTTGCCACCTCTAACTCTTGATTTAGTGAATTTCCTTTGGTTAGCGCGCCACCTCCCAAGCAGAAAGCACTTACTTCTGGGTCTTTGCACTTGCCATTCCTTCTCCCGCGGCTGCCCTTCCTTCTCCATATCTACCTCCCTAGTCATCCCTCAGGTTTTAGTTTAGTGTAGTTCAGCCACACTCCCTACCCTAGGTTTTGGTTGACTGTCAACCTCTCCACCGTGCAACTCCACCCACCCCACAGGGTGTTCTCCACTCAGCCTTCCTCCGTTAGACTGGAGCTCCCTGAGGGTAAGCAGGGTCACTACCGAGTCTCGAGAAAGGCTCGATGGTTGGGGGGTTGGTGGGGGCAGAGAAGTGAATGGCTTGGGCTAGGGTGGGAGGATGGAAGTGGAGAAATCCGGCCACTGGGATGGGATGGCGGATTCTATGCTGCATCTCCACGTGTGTTGTGTTAACTGCTCGCCCTGTCGTCGTGCAAGGTGTGTGTGTAGGCGAGTGTATGTGAGTGTGCATGCAGAGTGAAGCCTGGGGTGGCCCCGGGGAAGCCCGAGACCCAGGCAAGATTTGGGGAGCAGCAAGCCCCTTTGGGGGCATCTTTGAAATGAACATCTCCTTGCAGAGGTTCTAAACCAGGGGGAGGGAGACACTTTGGTCAGAAAGCCTGAGGCAGAGGGAATGTGCCGCAGGATGGGGACTCCGTGTCCAGGAAGGGACTGCGGAGCCAGAGACCACGGAGGGAAGATCAGAAGGCCAGGAAAATAAAGTCTGGCGTGCAGAGCAGTCATCGGGTATAAGTGGGTATAGGGGGGGAGATGCCGCACCGCAGACGCTGCTAACTCAGAGAACCAACCGAGATTGCTGCGCTGGGTGGGGCTTCCCGAGGACCTTCCATCCCCCCTCCCCCTCCTGACTCCTTACCTGTGTAGACAAAGCGGCCGGGGGCTCCCTTGCAAAATTGCTTGGACTTATAGGAGAGGGTCACTTCCACGACCCCGGGGATGTGCCGCGGGGGCGTCTGCACCCGGATGGCGTGGGGCGTGATTAGCTGCGAGGGGAGAGGGGAGGCCTGCAGGTCTCGTCCGGGCGAGGGGAGGGCCCAGCCCGAGGCCCGGAGGGAGACTGGCGGGGGTGGCCCACCTCGCTCCACACGAGCACGTTTCCAAACACGACCTGCAACCCGTCGAAGAAGTTGTCGCCGATGACAATGACGGTAGCGCCGCCCGTGGTCCAGCCCTCCCCGGGGCTGATGGCCTTGATGCAGGGGGTAGCAGCTGGGAGGCAGGAGAGGACCCAGGTCAGGGGACCACGCCAAGGTCGGGGCTGCGGGCTGGGGGCTGGCTGGGCCCGCGGCGGCCAGGCTAGGCCGGGGGTCCTGACCTTCGGAGGGGTCCAGGCGGCGCGCCCTGCGTCCATGCTTGGAGTTGTTGTGCACAAACATGTTGTCAGACACGGCCAGCACGTGTCCGTCCACGCTCACCGTCGTGGACACCACCACCTGTGGGGAGAGCCGAGGCCAGCCTGGCTGGGGACCTCGGGGGCTTCCCGGGAGGGGAATGTGTGGGGAAGCAGCAACTTGAGACCTGTGGCTGGATGCTGGAATTTAGGGTCACTGGTGGGCTCAACCCCAGGGGCTCAGCAGGAGAAATGGGGCCAGCTGGATCACGTGACACTCCTGATGAACTGACCCCCGCAAAAGCCCAAAAAATCAAGAGCCCTGAAAGAGCTCTGGCTCCTAGGGCAAAGAGTGGCACTGTTTTTGCAAGCACAGGAACTCTAGGCTGTATGCACAGGGCTCCTAGGCAGGAATGGGGTCTTGGGCAAGTGAGCACAGGGAGAACCAGGGGCAGGAGCCCCTGCCCTGTTCTGGGAGGAAACTGGAGCTGCCTTCTCCCCCGACCCGCTGCACTGGGAGGGGTGCGCAGGTTGGGGATGTGCTAAGGGCAGCTGCTCTCTGCTTCACGCTATGCAAATTGCCTGGGTCGTTAATCATGTAAAAATGTCACAATTAGCATCTTCTTAAGTGGGACTCTAATGAAGCCTCCCTTGGCAGCCAGCATAAGTTGAGATGGAGCTGCCCCACCCCCAGCAGGCACGAGGCCCGAAGGCACAGGGCTGGGCAGAGATCTGCCCTGGGGGCCTTTCCCACGTTGGCAGGGTCACAACCTTCCCCACCTCCTCCCTCCCCCTACACTATCAGGATAGGGTGGGTTTGCAGGGAGGACCCTCCAGACCCACCTGGAAGCGCCGCATGTCACGGGGATTCCCGGCATTCTTCAGGCAGTTCTGGTTGCATTTCAGGAAGAACTTGAGGAAGAATCTGAAACAGTGTGGTCAGTGGGCTCAAGGCTCTGGGGTTTCTGGGAACAGATGAACATCCAACTGCTCCCAGTCGGGCCTCTTCCCGGTTGGGTGACTCCACTCTGCCTGCTCACACACAGGCTCACGCCCCACGTTCCCATCACAAGCTGCACGTACACAGGGTGCCTGATACACACCAAACAGACCCATCACATGACTACTTCACTACACAGAACCGGCCCGTACATACAGTGTACGGATCATACGGTGCTTATTTATCCCACACAAGGTACATTCATCACAAAGAGTATGTCCATCATGTATACTATATATATCTATTACTCACAAATTATACCCAACATACTGTATGCCCAGCACATACACAGTGCATATGCCATGTAGCATGTACTCACACTTACACCATGTAAACTTATCATACACTATATGTATACTCATCATAAACAGCATACCCATTACAGACACTGTATATGCCTTAGATACTATTACTCATAAGATACAGCCACCACACACGCTCGGGGTATAACCTTCACATAAGCTTATACAACAGGTACTCCACATACAGCCTATACGCATCACACACATATGGCATACTAATCTGTACCCACCATGCACAGAAACGATATGGAACACATAGAGTATATACATTAATACATTTCATCCTCTATATGATTAACCAAAATATAGTCATTGCAAATACTGTATGGCCGTCCCATATAGCAGATTGCCCCCACCTTGGAGATCCCCCCAGCAAATCCCCTTCTTACACGTTCTATGTCCATTATATATACAGCAAAAATCTAATCACACGGAGCACAGACCTGCCATATACACAGGGTGTATCTGTCAGACACGTGGTACAGATACATAGTGAGTATCTTCTTTTTCACATAGAGTAATTGGAAAAAAGTGCAGTATACACATTGATGGAGCTGCTTTCTGTACAAACACATGAGCACTTGGTCCTCCACTCCTTCCAGGCAGTCGGCTGGGAGGGTGGAGCCTTGGTCCTACCCCTGCCAGTAAGGTAACCATGGACAATATTCAGGCTGTTGTACTCTTAGTAAACTCAGAATACTACCAATATCTGCCTTAGCACCTATACGACTCTGTGAGCATCCAGGGAGATGCTCTTTACAAACAGTAGAGTGCAGGGCTAAAGTCTGCCGTGGGTCCTGACGTGTGGTACAGCCTCCTGGGCCATAGCATGAGTTCCTCCGGTCAGCTTCCTCATTTTACCTCCACCCATTTGGGAGGGATTTGGACTATACTATACACCAAAGTAAATAGCAATGAGGGTCCAAAACCAGGGAGTGGACCTTTAACTACTATATAGTCACTTATACACTATTTATATACCCAAATTTGAATATCCATTTAATTCACTGGAGTTGCCTCCAAAGTCTGCAAACATGAAATTCACATTCAGAGGGAGATTTGTTACAGGCCCTGAAAATCTAGTACCCAGAAAGGAGGTCTCCAAGTGCTGGGAGGAGTGGGCACCAGCCCTAGAATAGAGGTGTCCCAAGGGGACAGCCCCCCATTGGGAGCTAGTGGCAGTCACTTTCCTGGAGATGCACCTCCCCAGGGCCCTGCTTCTGTCCACACTGCTGACCCCTCTGCCCCTGTCACATGCCCCCCACATAATGGGCACTCCCTTTATTTTCCTTTCTGCAGTGCACATGTCTGTCCACAGTGGACGCCACCCAGGAAATACTTTCACAAGTGTAGACCTTTTGTACACCTCCACAGAGCACTCCAAGGTGCAGATACCTCATGGGATCCCAAACAGTGCACACCCACAGTGTAGACACTCCATTCATCCCTAGGGGATGGATACCCTGCAGTGCAGACAGCTTACATAGTCACCAAAGTGTAGACACCGTATATACCCCTATAGGTCACCCCAAGGTGCAGACACCTTCAATGCTCCCAAACACTATACCTGAATAGTGTAGACACTTCATTTATCTCACCTTATATACTATAGTAATCACTCCTTACACCCCTTATGACACGCCACAGTGTAAACACCTCTACACCCACAGTAGTCACCTGATACATGTCCCACGTTCATATGTGACATAGAGTATAGACTCCCTATCATACCCATAGTGCAAACCAGTTCATTTAAATTTAGTACTCATGTGCTCAGTCCTTTACCATGTGCTGGAAGGAGGGGAAAACACCGGATGGGACATGTCCCTGTCCTGAAGGGGATGAATGCTAACCTTGGGGTACCTCTGATGGTGCAACAAGCATGGGAGTGCCCCCAAAAGATGACACACTTCCCGTACATCCACACAGGTGCCTGCTGCACCCAACCCCACTCCCAAACCTACAGAATCAAGAGGAAGGGGCCGAGCTGTGACCTAGGCTAGGTAAATCCTTCCGCATCCGTGAACGAGAGAGCAGCAATCAATGGCTGCGGGGGTACCTGCCAGTCCTGCCTCTGGGACATCCTTTACTTCCAACCCCCAAGTCTGCTGTTTCCCTGCAGAGTCCTGGTCCCTCATTGGCCCTTCCTCAAGGCCTTGCTCAGCAGTCTCCCCACACCGTCCCTTTCCAGTACAGGTCCACTTGTCCTTGGGGTCCACACCAATTCTCACGCCCTGTCTGGCTACCTTTTCTGGCCACTCTAGGCTTCAAGGACCATCTGTTGTTCCTGAGAGCCCTGGGGCCCTGCCAGCACCTCCATCTATTCGGACCTGTCCCAGGGTGAGTAAGACACAGCCAGCACAAGGCCCGGGCCTGCCATGGGGCGCCAAGGGTCAGTCCCCTTTCTCCTTCCCTCTGAGGCTCTACATCAGAGCCAGCACAGTCAGTGCCATCAGTGGTGCTGCCGAAACCTCACCCACTTCCAGCTGGTAGTCCGAGAGGCTGCTCCCAGTCTGAGAGCCTGCAGCCCCCCAGTCCAAGGCCGAGCCAGTGCAAACACCCTCCTGGGAGACTGCCACCACTGCCGCCCACCCTGCCAGCCTGAGGAGTGTGAAGAAAATGATCCACACCTTGGAAATAAGCAGACCACTGGGAGTCCTTTCCAAGTCATGCTGGCGTGGTGGTTTTCAAAGTGTGGCGCCCATACCAGCATCAGCATCACCTGGGTACTTGCTAGAAATGCAGAATCTCCCCCACCTCAGACCTGCTCAGTCAGAAACTCTTGGGGTGGGGCCCAGACATCTGTGTGTTCATAAGCCCTGCAGGTGACTTTGATGCACCCTAAAGTTGGAGACCCACTGCTCTAGAGCTGTGCTATCCAGTATGGTAGCCACTAGCCCTACATGGCATTGAATCCTTGAAACGTGGCTAGTCTGAATTTGAGATGTCTTCTAAGTGTAAAACACACATCGGATTTCAAAGACTCAGAAAAAAGAATATAAAAGAATTCGTGGGTAATCTTTTACAT